CAGGAAGCCCGAGGCAGAGTTGCTCTGCCCCGGGCTTCCTGGAATCAGCTGCTGATCAGTTTCAGCAGCAGCTGAATTGGGGACGCCTGGGGTTCTTAAGTTGATTCTGTATGTAAGTCAGAACTGGCGGTCAGTTTCAGCAGTGTCTGAATCTGGACGCCAGTTCCGACTTACATACAAATTCAACTTAAGAACAAACCTACAGTCCCTATCTTGTACGTAACCCGGGGACTGCCTGTAATAATAATAATAATAATATCACTGAGTATGTCAGAATCTGCAAGGTAGATGCTTATGAGCTTGACCAATCCTTTTAATTTTAATTCCAACAAGATTCTATTAAACATGAAACTGAAATGATCTCTTTTTTCATCAGGACCAACTGCAAGGACCTGCAAGGTAGAGGCACTGAGAGGAGAGAACGGTTAACTGAGGAATTCTCTGCTTCCAAACAATTTACAAGCACTTTCGCATGTCAGAGGAGAGGTCATGAATGAAAAGAAACAGAGAAGGAAATGCTTTGTTATCATTTCTTTGCTTCCCTAGGTTTCAGTCAGAACTCTATGAGTGTATTCTGCCTCAGTGCACATGTATGACTCATGTTAAGAAGAAGAAGTTGCATTACCCTTTAGTATTTTTGAATGACCTTCATGAAGTGCTGGAAGAGACAGTTATAGAAAGAGACTATGGAAAACAGACAATGTCCCTCGTCTCTCAGTTTAGCTCAATGCACAGCTGCATTGACGGAAGAGGACAGAGGCTTTTCTTATTCCTTATCACATTTACCGAAAGATCCAGCATGCCGTTCTTGTGAACAAAGTTGTTGGTTCCATCAATGTGATCCGTGTCCTCCAGGCAGCTGTAATTGATGCAGGAGTCAGTCAAACTCCGTGGGAGATTGGCACAGGCCAGCGGCTCATGAGGCATTTCTGGAATGGGCACCTGGTTACAGAGCTTCCGCATATGCTCGCTGAAGAAATCTGCGTAGCCCACGTTGAACGAGGCCAGAGTGGTGTTGAAGGTGGCCACGGTGATGGTAGAAATCTGGGATCGCACTGTAAGACAGAAAACGGGCATCTTAGCCTTTCGTGGCTCAGTTACAAAACTACCCATTCAGGCTATGCTTACTATTGTAATTAGCACCACACGCAATAATGTATTTTTTAAATTATTCCTAAATTTGTCAGCAAAAAGTATCTTAGAGATCAATTTGTAAGCCTTTCAGATACAGAGCTGAGCTAGTGCGTAACAAAATGCTCCTGAAACGAATGTATCTCAGACATGAGAAACCTGCAGAGCAGATTGGAAAAGTAAGCTCTGCCTGAAATATGTCAGCACCAGGGCCAAGGGAGACTTGCCCACCCTGGTTTTGATCTGACACACATCCAGCCTTTCTGGGACTGCTCAGAATTGTTCAGAGAGGGACGTCTGAAAATGAATCCCAAAGGCTCACTTCATGCCATGCAAATACATCTTCCTCTACTAACAGCGTATGCCTGGGAGCTCACTCACAGGACAGGTGTTCCTATGCAAGGAGTAGCAAGCTGGTGCAACACCGCGAGCACTAACAATCGCTAGAGGTACTGCTCCAAATTATCCACAAGAGCCTCCCAAAGGAGAGAGAGGGAGAGGGGCTCTTTCCTATTAAGCCACCTCTGCCGTAACTAGCAAAGCTGGATCCAACAACAACACCCTGCACCCTTCCAAAAGGTGCAGCAGCCGCTGCATCCCTAGCCTGGGCCTGGGAGCACTCCAATTTGCTCCCCAAGGAGGGCTGTGCTTCAAGCCTACATATCTAAAACTAATTCCAAACCATTCAATTCCAGGCCTCCGCTTGGAATCTGGGGTAGGGTTGCCAGGTGTCGGTTTTTGCCTGGATTGTCCATTATTCAGGCCCCCCGTCCAGTAACAAAAAAACCCAGAAACTTCCGGACCTGTGAAATGTCTGGTATTTCCTGTTTCCCTCGGACGGAAGCCACGTCTGGCAGGGGCAGGGGAGTGAGGAGAGCGGCAGAGGCATAGTGAAGGGGACACTTGCCCCCGGACACCACACTAGGGGGGAGCTGGGGTGGGAATGGTGCGCACGCTGCTCTGGCCCATGTGACCCTTTGAGCAGAGACCCAGGAGCTGGCCACATGATGCCTCCCTTTCGTCTGGCAGGGGCAGGGGAGTGAGGAGAGCGGCAGAGGCATAGTGAAGGGGACACTTGCCCCCGGACACCACACTAGGGGGGAGCTGGGGTGGGAATGGTGCGCACGCTGCTCTGGCCCATGTGACCCTTTGAGCAGAGACCCAGGAGCTGGCCACATGATGCCTCCCTTTACACTGTGAGCCGAGGCAGCCGGGCCAGTGGCAGGAGCAGTGACTTTAAAAGTAAGATTTCCTTACACAGCCACCCTGTTCCTCCGGTGACTGGCTCTGCACGAGGAGAGGAGGGAGATTTGATTGGGGTGGGGTGCTCCCGGTGCTGGGGATGCCTGGGTCAGGGGGAGGGGTGAGTGTGCTGAGATGGGGGACGCTGTGGAGGGCCTGGCTCTGGGGCAGGGGTGAGTGAATTGGGATGGGGGACCCTGTAGGGGGCCTGGCTCTGAGGCAGGGGTGAGTGCACTGGGCTGGGGAGAGTTGGGGGGCCTGGCGGGCCTGGCTCAGGAGGAGGGGGGAGTGCATTGGGGATTAGTGTGTGGCCCCAAACTGGAGGGAGTGATGTAAGATGCGGTACAAACTCTCCCCTCCTTCCAGAGTCAGACTCATCACTTCCTCCCCCTCCCCCCCCACAACAACTTTGGTCTCTCTCTTGTTTTTTTCCTCAACAGAATTTTTTCCCAGTGGTTTTTTTTTCTTTCTTTCTTTTTTTTTTAGGGTGTTCAGTATTTTTGTTAAACCATCTGGCAACCCTAATCTGGGGGCTCAAATGAACTAAAGCAAGAAAACAATTCAACGAAGTCTGTGATCTTCACTGGGTCTCAGTGGGTATTGCAGGGCCTTCTCCCACTCAAAGGCATATCAAGCCTTTAGAAGGCTCAACATTTGGTGTCTTCATGATGTTGATGACACCTTGCTCTACACCTCCATCTTTATGGACACGGCCGAACAATGTACACAGCATCGGAATGACATCAGCTGCAGTGTGACCCAGAGAAGTGATGACTGTGGGTAAAACAGGTGGAAGGAGTGGGAGATATACCAGGCAAGGGTAGAGTTTCGAGAGGGTAGGGAGGGCAGCAGCCAGGTGTGAGAGGCTGCACAGAATGCAAGTACTTTCCTCTCACTCCCTGACAGTCTGGGGAATGGGATAAAGAGCAAGCTGCATTCCGGTGTGCACGGCTGCTCCCCACCTTACCCTCCCGAAACTTCGCCCTTGATATGAGGCATCTTGACTCAAGGTGTACAGCTGTTTTTTACTACGCAGGTCTTTCCCTTGAAGCCATGTCTGGAATATCCACGTTACAGCAGGGGTCAGGACTTTATCAAGTGAGAAGTGTTGTGTCGCAACCCTCCCTGAGCCCAGGGAGACAGTGTAGCTCAGCCCTCAGTTCCATGGCTAAAAGCTGCATTGTTTTCTTTCAATACAGGCAGTCCCCGAGTTACGCGGATCCGACTTACGTCAGATCCGCAGTTACGAACGGGGCCCTTCCTCTCCCTGGTCTCCAGCAGACCAGGGAGAGGAAGCAAAGCGGCGGAACACGCGGCCAGCTGACAGCCCAGACGCCGCTCTGCTCTGCTCTGCTCTGTTTGTGACTTCCTGTTCCGGCGCGTGTTCCGCCGCTCTGCTCTGCTCTGCTCTGTTTGTGACTTCCTGTTCCGGCGCGTGTTCCGCCGCTCTGCTCTGCTCTGCTCTGTTTGTGACTTCCTGTTCCGGCGCGTGTTCCGCCGCTCTGCTCTGCTCTGCTCTGTTTGTGACTTCCTGTTCCGGCGCGTGTTCCGCCGCTCTGCTCTGCTCTGCTCTGTTTGTGACTTCCTGTTCCGGCGCGTGTTCCGCCGCTCTGCTCTGCTCTGCTCTGTTTGTGACTTCCTGTTCCGGCGCGTGTTCCGCCGCTCTGCTCTGCTCTGCTCTGTTTGTGACTTCCTGTTCCGGCGCGTGTTCCGCCGCTCTGCTCTGCTCTGCTCTGTTTGTGACTTCCTGTGTGACCAAGCACAAATCATCTAGCCTCTTTGTGCCTCAGCTCTCTATCTGTAAAGATAACATTAGAGAGGTGCTCTGAGGATAACGACTGAGACATGCTCAGATACGATAGTCCTGGGGCCCATTTGAATACCATAGAAGCTCAGAGTTATAAACACCTCAGGAATGGCAGTTATTCATAACTCAGAACAGAACAAAAGTTTACAGCTAAACATTGACTTCATACAGCTTTGAAACTTTACTATACAGAAGAAAAAAATGATCCTTTCCCTTTTATTTTAGTAGTTTACGCTTAACACAGTACCATACTGTATTTGCTTTATTTCTTTTTGTCTCTGATGCTGCCTGATTGTGTACTTCCATCACCAAATGAGGCGGTTAGGTTACTGGTCAGTTCGTAACTCTGTTGCTCATAATTCTGGGGTTCTACTATACCAGTGATAGATGGGAAGTTTAAATGTTTTCTGCGCTTGGCTAAAAGAGAAGCAGCAGCTACTGATTGTGTTTGGTTCCTGCCCTCTCCACCACAAAGCAAGAAAACTTGTTAGTACTGGTAATAACAGCATCAGACTATTAATATTGAGGTGTCTTGTATAATTTTAGCAGCCCTATTATAGGAAAACTTTAGCAATGCTCTTGTCTTTTTGGTAGCTAGCTTTGTTACTGTAAGAGTAAGGAGTCTTAACTCTGATGGGGTGGGCCATATGCTGATAAGAGCAATTACACTCTTCTACCTCTGTGGCTTTTGCAGTTTTACATGCATATAGCATTTTTATCAACTTCCCAGAATTGCCAGCCCCAAGTACTAAAAAATTATGAGTCAGGTAAAAAAAAAAAAATCACAAGATTATTACTAAAAAGCCCCATGACTTCTAAGCCAAATTCTGGGTTCGGTTTCTTTGTCTTCTATCACTTGGGCCTTTAGGGTGCATCTTGGATTATTTTTCCAAGCTTTTCCTTGAAATTATGTGAGTTAGAAATAAACTTTTTAAAGGTGAAAGCTGAGATTCTTTTGCAATCTCTTTATTCCAGCAGCAGGAGCTTTTAAAAACCATCAAAAATTGTGAGAGACCCAATGAAATCACAAGAGTTAGCAAGACTGACTTCCTGCCCTAGACTTCTGAGTAGCGTTGCTGCACACTGTTAAAAAGGTGCTGTGTCCCATCCTACACGGGGACGCACATCCTTTAAGATGAAAGACAGATACTTGTGAAAAATTATACTACAAAAAGAAGAAACAAACGAGATATTAAGGAATGAAAACAATAAAACTCTCTCAGCCTCCTGATGTTCATGCTCCAAAGAGGTATTTGCTTATCATTATATTTGACGCACCTTCTTTGACTGTATTTTCTCCATGGCTGTTTGAGTGGTCAGGCAGGTCCGTAACCAGGGTGTGATGAGAGTGGGAATGTCTAGCACTCAGGCTCTCCATCTCTGTAGCTGTGTCAGAGCTCCCCCGTCTGGTGAACTTCCCTAAGGTGAACACACAAAAAATACATGTAGGCTGTGTCTAGGCTGCATCCCTTTTCCGTAAAAGGGATGCAAATTAGACACATCGCAATTGGAAATGAAGCAGGGATTTAAATCCCCTCCCCCCCCGCTTCATTTGCATAAACATAACTGCCGCTTTTTTCCGGCCCAGAGCTTTGCCGGAAAAAAGCGCCAGTCTAGACAGGGAGATCTTTCAGAAAATAAAGCCTTTTCCGAAAGATCCCTTATTCCTCTTAAAAAAAGGAATAAGGGATCTTTCGGAAAAGGCTTTATTTTCCAAAAGATCCACGTCTAGACTGGTGCTTTTTTCCAGCAAAGCTCCGAGCTGAAAAAAAGCAGCAGCCATGTTTATGCAAATGAAGCAGGAGGGGTTTAAATCCCCGCTTCATTTGCAATTGCGATGTGTCTAATTTGCATCCCTTTTACGGAAAAGGGATGCAGTCTAGACACAGCCGTAGTTTGCAAGTATAAGGGACACGTTAATGTTAGACGCTGAGGTGTGAGAATGGCGGATGGGGTTCGTTAAGATTAACAGAGGGGTAGCCATGTTAGTCTCAATCTGCAAAAGCAACGAGGAGTCCTGTGGCACCTTATAGACTAACAGATGTATCGGGGCATAAGCTTTCGTGGGCAAAGACCCACTTCGTCAGATGCATTAAGATTAACAAGAGTCCAAACTAGGGATGTAAAATCCCATTTAATTAGTTAACCAGTTAAATATTTTGTACATTTAACATTGACATTAAACATTTAACAGGTTAACCAATCAAATGAGGGTGGGGGGTCCAGGCTAGAGCGGCCCACCCAGCTGGAGCACCCATGCCCGCGGTGTGTCAGGCCAGGCCCACTGCAGGTGAGGGGCTGCTCCGTCCGGGTCCCGCGGGGCTGGAACAGCTGCCGGTTAACCATAACTGGTAAGCATCACTCGGTAAGAATGATTCTTACCAGTTAATTGGTTAACTGGTTAATCATTCACATCCCTCGTCCAAATCTCACCTGATTCATGTGAAACAGAGCCAAAGTGGAAAATCCTTCTTCAGGCTTTATCTACAATACCAATTTTGTCAGTCAAGGGTGTGAAAAAACAAGACATTTGGACTGACATAAGATTCAGTGACAAAAGGTCTGGTTTGGACAGCACTAAATCAGCAGGAGAACCTCTCCTGCCAACTTAACTACTGCTGTTAATTGGATGTGGTTTAATTATGCCGGCAGGAGAGCTCTCTCCTACCCTACAGGAGAGACCCTACAGTGGTACAGCTACAGTGGTATAGCTATGCCACTGTAAGGTCTGTAGTGTAGACACAGCTCTAGCCTATGTCTAGCTACTCAAGCAAAACTCCCACTAACGCCAAGGCTGTGTCCAGACTCAGGGGTTTTTTCGGGAAAAGTAGCCTTTTCCCGAAAAAACTTCCCCTGCGTCCAGACTCAAGCCGCGTTCTTTCGAAATTATTTCGAAAGAACGCGGCTTTTCTTTCGATGGCGGTAAACCTCTTTTTACGAGGAAGAACGCCTTCTTTCGAAAGTTCCTCTTTCGAAAGAAGGCGTTCTTCAATGTAAATAGGGCTTCCTCGAAAGAGAGCATCCAGACTCGCTGGGTGCTCTCTTTCGAAAAAGCGGATTGCTCTTTCGAAAGATCCGCCTGCAGTCTAGACGCGATCTTTCGAAAGAGGCTCTTTCGAAAGATGCTTTCGAAAGAGCCTCTTTCGAATGAAGCCTGCAGTCTAGACATAGCCCAAGAGAAAGGTGGAGAGGCAGAAAGGAATGATGTGTTTCTTGAGTCTGAGTGGAAATATGTTTTGCCAAGTCATATTTAATGATCAGTAATAGACTATGTAGTCATTGAAGGTCACCAGTCAGAACAACACCGTGCTTTACCTTAGAAGATGGCAGAAAGCCCATGCCATTCCTACAACAGGCATGGCAAACCACTAGTCAGGGCAAAGAACATAACCAGCCATCAAGAGGAAGGCTGCTTTGCAGTGCGACAATGCTGGAGAAATAAAGCTCCTCTGTTTCCACCCTGCTATTCTTAGAACATTCTGCAGCAGAATTATTAAAGGCTTGTAATAATAATCCTTTCCCATTGGTCACCTAATATAGCAGTTTGCCAGCCTCCTCTCTCAAGCCCACGCCGGTCCTCTCCAATCCCGGAGAAGCTGCCAAAGGAGAACGTGCTGCGAGTGGGCGACACATCCAAATGATCCTCATGGAGCAGGAAGGGCACCCCCATCCTTCGCTGCCGTTTCTTCCCTGTGTGGTGAAAGGGGATAGAGCCCTTGCGCTCACGCTCGCGATCCTCTTTGCGAGTCTTAAACTGTAAAAGGAAGGGGAGGGGGGTTAGAGGCCGGCAGAGGCTGCGGGGCATTTCAGTACAGTTAGCGGGGAAGGACATTACCAACAACGGACAAGCATACAGGAATCCTAAATTCCCCTTGTTCGATTAATCCTTTTTAAATATATAACATTATAGATCTTAATTTGTTTCTATAACCTTCAAAGCAAGGAAAGGGCTTTCTTGGGAGAGTGCTTCACTGATTTAGACTCAGATCTCAGGACCAGCATAGGTCCATTGAAACTGATGGAGCTGTTCTGTCATACGAGGACCTGGCTGCAAATCACCACCACTTATGGAAAATCTCATTGATTTCAATAAGAGTTTGACATAAGTAGATTTCAGCAGTGTACACACACACACACACACACACACACCCATCCATACGTGGAAACATGTCCATCATAAGCTTTTAGGAGTTGCACACCTGGCATGTGTATTGGCACTGGATTCTATATAAACAAAAATAAATGATTGTGCTACTCACCTTTTTAAAAATGTTCATTCCCAGGTCTGTGGAGAGATCAGGCACGGCTAACCTGCGCAGGTTGGTCAGTGACACCTTAGAAAAGGCCTCAGTGCTTAGTGATTTTTCCTCCTCATTGCACTTCACTGTGAGATCCTTCACTCCCCGAAAGAAGAGAAACATAAACAAGCAGAAATAGCAAGTAAGCAACTAAAACATCTACTACTATCCCAACAAAGGACAGCTCCAAAGGAGAAAAAACTTAATTCCATCAGACAAAACTCCACTCCCACATTTAAACAGATTTAGAACTTCAAAGATTAATAGTTTAATCTGATCGTTTATCATTCAACATGATAGCATTTTGCCACCACAAATAACATCAATGTCAGGAAGAAGCGCATTGGGCTGGGAGTCCGGAGACCTGGAGATCTTTACTCCCAGCTAGGACACTAGACCCTAGTCTACATAAGGGAGTTATTTTGAAATAACAAGCGGAGCATCTACACTACCAAGCCTGTTATTTCGAAACAATAACTCCTGCTTTCCACAAGGAATAATGCTTATTTCACAATAGCTATTTCAAAATAGTGGAACTGTGGATGCTCCATGGCTGCTATTTCGAAATAACTACTCCCCAGAGTCATTCAAAGAAATTACTCCCCAGTACTACCTGAGGCTCTAAATTGAGGTAGAACGTCCACTTTAAGGGAGCCTGCCTCAGACTAACTTCAAGGCTTCCCTGTAGTGGGGATACGCTATTTCAAAATAGTTATTTCAAGAGTTATTATTTCGAAATACATTCTTTCGAAACAATTTCCTAGTGTAGACATGCCCTAGTGTAGCATCTGAGCGTGGGCAGGCTGTTTCACCAATATACAGCTGTGGATTTATTATAATTGCCTTCCCTTATGAAGTGCTTTGAAATCTATAACTGTATCAGAGCCAATTGTTAGTTTCAGCAAATATAACTAAAATATATTAAGACTAATGTTTCAGAGTTAGCATCTGAAATGTGATGAGCAGCATTTTCAACATTGTCTCCATCTAAATAACATTAAGAACTACTTGGTTTATACCATTTTAAGATTTTGTTATAGGTTCAGGCTTCTTTACATGAATAAAAAACTGAGATGTGTACATCGGTGAGAATTCTTAATTGCAGTAATGGTGCTCAGGAATATCTTTACTTGGATGCACAACTGCTACCCCCTATATTGTTTAAAAGCCTCAGGCCTCAAAACATCCTAGGCATCCACTTATCTCTAGGCAGCCAAACCCGAGGGCTGTGTCTACACTGGGCCACTTATTCCGGAAAATCAGCCGCTTTTCCGGAATAAGCTGCGAGCTGTCTACACTGGCCCTTGAATTTCCGGAAAAGCAACGATGCTCTACTGTACAAAATCAGCCGCTATTCCGGAAAAACTATTCTGCTCCCGCTCGGGCATAAGTCCTTATTCCGGAACACTGTTCCAGAAAAGGGCCAGTGTAGACAGCCCAGTAGTCTTTTCCGGAAAAAAGCCCCGATCGCAAAAATGGCGATCGGG